GAAACTGTTCGCCCTTCCCGGCCTCTAGCAATTTCTCTCTCCTGAGCGCTGTGGCACCGCAGCCCCACGCCTGCAACGATGGCGTCATATGTGCTTCTGCTTTCCTTCGCGAGGGAGGCAGAAACCAGGCAGTGAACTCACGAGGCGAAGAATGCCATCAGCCGTCCCTGTTTGTGTAGCTGTCGGGGCGATGTTTGTCTGGGATTGCAAAACGCGTTCCACATCTTGTGCAATTCAGGCTAATTCCGGCTCGCGGACTTCAAGCTTTCAAGCAAAACTGGCCGATTTGTGCGGCAAATCCTCTAGTCTAGAAGCCCAAGGCCTCCGTCCAGTCAGATCCTTTGCTTCCAAGATGCCAAGTTTGCCGCGTTCTGCGAATCGGGCTTCTGGAGCCGGCCGTGCGCGGCTTCTGCAGGCCCAGTGTTCAGAGGTCCAGAGCTTGTGTGTTTGAAGATTGTCACTTGTAGCTCCATTGCCCACATGGCATAGGATATGGTTGATGTCAAGAAGGCTGTCTGAGACCAGGAGTGACAGCTTCCGACCTAGGGCTAGGGTTGACCATAGCCATCAAGCTCGCGAGGTGTCCTGGTGTCCTTTCCCAAATCCTGACATGGAGCTTTTCGCTTTTTGAATCCTGTACCCTCAAAACCCAGAGGCCCTAAGCCTTGAGCTCTTCAAGCGCTGAGACACAGACCCGCATGGCTAGCTCTCTCCTGGCCTCCTGTGGCCTCGACCATGCTCCCCTCCACAGAAGCCGGCTTCGTGAAGCTCCGCGCCCTCTAGCATAGCACAAGTCAGGTTTTGATGTGGGGTCTGATGGGTTCAGAGAACTTAAGTTTTACCAGTAGAAGGTTTCCCTGCATGTCTCTGATCAACCCTGAAGCCAGAGGCCATGCAACAAGGTGTTGTAGGCTTCCAGGATACTGCCCGTCGGCTGAAGAGTCTGGGAATAGATGAGTGACGATGATCTATGAGTCCGGAGCCGTCGAATGTGCAGCAGCTAAGGGAGCGCCAAGCCTCATGTGTTGCCTCTTCTGTCCGGGGTGCTCAGATGCGCTCTACCCCCCGCCCTGGAGCATCGGTGCCTGTTCGCGAGATTTTGTGGCGAAGAATGCTAAAGTCTGGACGAGCCTGAGCTGTCAATCTGCTCTCGAGAAGCCCTGGACTCGGAAGCTTGCGATAAGAAGACTAATCTATCCCAAAACTCAGAACTCACAAAATCTTCATAATGACGACACTTCAAGAGTAGCTAGTTGATGCAGGGCCATCAACGTTCGAGCAGGATTTGTGTTACTGGCCGGGGCAAATGCTCTGGATCTCGTCGTTTGCAATGTATCACTTGACGAGGTGTTGCTTGAGAAATCTGCTACCGCAAGCCTTGCAAATAAGAACACTTACAGCTGCGCAGGATGTACCTGCTGCATGGTCCGGATGTTTCTGTGCTGGTACGTTGCCGAAAAGAGCTGTTCAACAGTGCTGCAGAAATAGGCGTGAAGGAGCAATCAATCGAACTCTCAAGTCGACACATCAATTACACGATGATTGCAAGATTACCAGGCAGCCCTCTGCCGCGGTTGCTCCCAGCAGCGCTGTGCCACGGGGTGCCAGGGTTCCAGGCGACCGTGCCTTGGCTTCATGGTGCAGCCTCGTTGTAGTGTCGGCTAGAGTATTTGTGCGGTGGTTGTAGAATCCCTTTCGGCTTTGTTGCCTTCTGCGAGGCGCTGCCTGTTTCTGGCACAGTGTTGATAGGTGCGTCGGCCTGTCAACGGCGACCCCCGTTTCACGAAATCATGCATTCAATTCCAGGTCAATGTCACAGTCTTTCTGTCGGATGAAAAGCGCAGCCCGGGCGGTTGGACGAAGCGGCGGTGATTGACAGAGCCCGTGGCGGAGACTCCAAAAGATGCCTGGCAAAATAGCACTTCAGTGTTCTTAGCTTTAACAGCGAGACCTTACACTTGTTGTGAAAAGCTGCAGTACGTATGTACTGAGAGTCAAGGGTGATCTGGAGATCATAGGCTGACTGCTGTTCGCGCCTCTGGCAGCTCTTTGCAGTGCCGTGCGGTGGGGCTGTGCCGCTGGCCACTGCTTTGGCCAATGCCCATGCGAGGCTGGAAAGTTCCTTTCGAAAGAAAAACGAAGATCTTTTCCCCGGTCTCTAACGACGAGAACATGCTGTCGCTTGATGCTCTTCCCTTGTCCCTTGACAAGCATCAGACGGCTACTGCTCTCGGACTTCACTACGGAAGGCTTTGAATCGTCAACAAGGATGAATGTGCAGAAGCGTTGCTGCAGCAGTTGCGGCACCGGACTTGCTGGCAACACCAGCTTTTCTTAATCTCGCTCCCCCTCCTCTCCATTCTGCCCCTCATCACCCGTGAGGATCATGGTTGTCTCCACTCCCCGTGCTCACCTGCTCGTCATCCTCTGTCTTCCATCCTCATCCTCCTCGTCGCCATTTTCCTGTATCCTCGTCGTTGTCACCATGATCCTGAGCACGAGGTGCTCCATCATCCATGCAAGCCATGGGGTTCGACCTCGCTCGTGAAGGATTCACGCCACCTCCCGAATCGAAAGAACTGAAACAAGTTAGATAATACACAGTCAGCCGGTCAAAAGCTCGGACAAGGTGAACATAGTCGCTTCCCCAGCTTTTTGGGAATTCACAGAGCCTCTAACATTGAAACGTTAATGCCTTGCCAAAGTTGGAAACTACCCATATTCCCCATCACCCCCGGGAGACTTCCTATTACACGCTTTCGCCTCTGACCGCTAATTGACCACAAGGCATTCGCAGCGAAAACAGCTAAACTGGCCCTAAACAGTCCTGCGCTGATAGCACATCGGCTCTAGCTGCCAGCTATGCGCAGGCTTCGGTAGCAAGTCGGCCTTGGCTTTGCCGGATCCCTTGCAGCTGGGAGCTGGGGGAGTTTGGATGACTTTTTCGGGGTTTCAGACTTGGATCCGCCAAGTGCTTATGATGAACGAGTTGGTTTCCCGCTCGGTACGTTGAGCTGAAGCATGCCTTCCTTGGCGTGAGGGCTTACAGACCCGGTGGTGGACTTGGTAATATCATATCGATTTGGCTACAAGTTCGTTACTTTGCATGTCCCATTCGTTCGGCTTGGCCACGTGGACCTCTGACAAGTTTGGAAATGCAAGCTTCAAAAGCTAGACTCTGGACCAATACGACGGTTTTTCAGGCTTTGGGGCTGAGGCTTAGAGTTCGAGGACAACTGGAAAAAGGAAGCTTCGAGAAATACTCGGTCAGAACACTTCCAATCTGACAAGCAACTTGTCTTCATCAAGAGCACTCTGGGTTCCTCACGCAATGTCGTTGCCTCTTCGTCGGCCTACGCCCGCTCTTGTTGTCTGGCGCAGTGCGATGCGTAGATGCTTCAACTTTCTTTTGCGCAGATTGACTTCTACGCTGGTTCTTGGTAGCATCATCACGTCTTCTGCAGAATCAACCCCGGATCATGTAGGCTCAAGTCTGTATGCAGTACAGGGAATAATTCTGGGTTGCTGCGGAGCTTTTCGGCGAAGCTGCCTGTTGCCATCATATATACATACATACATACATAAGTATACATACACATATATATATATATATGTATATACACATACATACATACATACATACATACATACATACATACATACATACATACATGTGTATAAATATATATATATATATAGTGTCTTGTGCCTGACAGTTCTGAGGCCGACATCCAAAGACCTGGCGCCAAGTCTGCGAACAGAATGTCTTGCCTGCTTACCCGTCGCGGTTGGTTTGGGTCATCTGACAAATTTGAGAGCCTGTGCTAAAGACTTTCCGAGGCTTGAACCTAAATCCTGACCTCTGCATTCTGAACCGTGAGCTTGAACCCGAAGCCGCAGCGCCGCGCCAGGCCTCTCTCCAATATCTGTCGCTTTGGCCAAGCGGTTGATGGCAACCACGAGAGTGCCTGAACGACATCGCGATGCCCTCCGTCAGAATATGCTGTGCTGGCCAAAGACCAGAAGTGGCTCTTCTGCTGACAGTGCGAATCGTGGTAGGGCCAGCAAACTCGAAAAAACACGTTGCGTGATTTCAACCGAACGTCTCTTAAGACTAAGTGTCGAATGTGCTGGCGTCGCCGTGATAATCGTCGCGCGAGTTGGCACGCGTGAACAGACGACTGCAGCGTCGTAACCCCGAGACCAGGATCTCACAAGTGACTGCCGCCTGGTGCGAGCTCGGATCGGAGGAGAACTGCGATGCCATGCGGTGATGAGGAGAGCAGCTGCCTTTCCACTGGAGGAATTGGCAATGACCCCACTTGGAGCCCAAAGATCTGAAGCACATAACCTGATTCTCTTGGTCAAGACCATTAATCTCCGTGTGGAATTGGACTTTTCCATGTTCAAAACCTGCTTTTGGATTATGCTCTGCCGGGCAATCCTCATCTATGGCACTATGGTGCAGTGTGGCCTGCGTTAAGTACTGTATCGACCCTGACACAAAAACTCTGAAGAACTGAACAACATCTGCAGCCGCACCTGTGGAGGGCGGCATCGCCAATGGCGAGAGCACGCAAGGAGCGGCTCCGTGTGTCCATGGCGAGTCCATGTGGACAAGGTGCTCACCGCTTGCTTTAAGGGCTTTAAGGCATTAAGGGTTTTGGTTCGGGGCATGGGACTTCGTCACGTTCGTGATGGCACATCTTGTGGCCAGAGGTTTCGGGTCGCAGGGTGTAGGATCGCTCCTTACACTTCGAGGCCAGCGACTTGTGCAGACTGCACTGGACAACGGGAGAAAGATTGGTGCAAGCATCCTTTTCAAGGTCTCCAAAGCTACACAGACGAATTCTCACACAGCTCGATGCTGCTTCACACTACAGCCCTGTGAATTCAGGTGCTGCTGTATTCTCAAAGCCGCACCATCTGCACAGGCGTGCTTCCAAAAGCAGCCTGTGCCTTGACAGGGCTGGAAGGCTTGCTTGCTTCTATTGGAGACCTCATTGCCATTCCATGACGCGGTCCATGTCTTCCACAAGACCAATGTCAGGGTTCTGCGGGTAGGCCCTGATCCTCGGTCTTCAATCCCCTTCGGTTTTGCCATGAACACCCAACATTTCTGGTTTGGGGTGTGGACCCAGGGCTTTGGAGCAAAGGTTAAGTGTTGTTTTTCCGGCCTACAGGATTTGCTGGGAGCGCAACGAACTTGGGTTTTGGCCTTCGTTGAATAAGCCATTCGCAAAACGCTGGAAGACTATTCACACGCTTAAGGGTCAAGCTGAAGAAGATCAAGGCATGCAAGGTCACGAAGAGCGGGAAAAGGATCTGCAGGCTCACGTCGAGCCTCCGAGACCACGGAACCCTGGGGGACAAAGGGAGGCTGTACCAAGGGGGCGGCTGCACAGCAAACTTGTACTTCTCCATGTCGAGCAGCAGCTCCATGAACAGGGAAAAAATGATGCGCACGTTGCCAGTTTCAACTGGCGTATCAAACCCCTTGTCACGGAGAAACATGCACATGATTTCTTCGGCGTCAGCGGTTGCAAGAAAGATGTTGAACCTGGACATGACTCTGCGAAGCATTTCGGGATCAGCAAGTCCGTCTGTGACTTCCCTTTGCCATAGAGAGAGCAAGTGCTTGATTACCAGCAGATCACCTTCTGTTGTCACTTTCTGATCGATGGGAGAAAGATGGCGCTGGCTGCCGAAGTCGATGTGGAAGGAACAGCGTGAATCGAACTCAACAGAACTTAGCCGAGGTCGCGAAGTTGGTGACGTTGGTGTGGAGTCGTCGACTTCACCGATCAAAGGAATCTTTACCTCGGATCCGTCCTGTGCTTGTGCGTGTATCGGTGAATCCGTCATCTCGGTGAAGCTCTTTACCGTCTCGAGGTCTTCGCGCGTGTGGCTCGTGTTGACTGAAGGCTTTCCGCTCTGCTCTTTCCGCTCTGCTAAGTACGACAGATGAACGGCGTGGAAGCGTCTTGTCCTCTGTACGGGCTGGTAATCTTTCAGCAATTCCACAACAAACTTCTTCTTCTTCAAAGAGTCCTGGATGAGCTCACGTGCTTTTGCCTCCACCTTTTGAAGTTGCTTCAGATTCTCTGCAGCCTTTTGTTCAGAGATCAAGAGTAGCTGCACGATGGCCAGGTGAATGGCAGCATAACAGCACAGGATCATGGAGACGAGCAGGTAATCGGTCAGCCACACACACGTGGCAACCTATGGTGGCCATGACATTGCCAGGATGCTTTCGCTTATAAACCTGACACCCAAGCCTCAACCTGAACCCTTACAAGCTGTCGGGTTACAGTATGCTGCGACATGATCGACAACCCGTGACCTTCATACGCCGCAGAAACAGCCCAAGCATGTGTCTTTTTCGAGAGCCATGGGTGCAGGGCCAACATTGCAATTCTACGCTTCTCTGGCATGCTCATAGCGTCCAAGCTAGCCTGCAACATCACCACCGCATCTCTTACCCGACTGTGAGTCAAAGATGCCGAAAGTCAACAGCATTCCCAGAACAGCATGCAATCAAATTTATTATAGGGCCTCATCATCATCAGCATGCCAGAGTGAAGCCTATGTCGGAGTTGCTTCAAACTTGGAACACGGGCGTCAAAACACCCGAAGAAGTCAACACAAATCTCTGGGCCCTCGAATTCGAGCACAAGACCTTCAACCTGAATCCGAGCCCCAGTCCCGGCCTGTGGGAGCTTGGAGAACACGAAACCCTGCAGCGTTCGCATGATGAGAACCGGGAGCAACGCGACTGCTGCTCGAGCAGGAGCGGAGCTTGGGTCGATAAAGAAGCCAGTGTAGCTCACCAGCAAAAACCTTAATACAACCAGTTATCAACAGATTCTCAGTGCTACATGATGACACGTCTGCGCCGATGTTTGGGAAGCCAAGACAAACACTAGACATCCCGTCGAAACGGCAGAAGCCATGCAAGAGCAAATCAAGCCTTGTCGGACATCCTTGCTGTCGCAAGTCTTGCTGACATCGAGACTGCCCTTTTGGCTGCGAGACTCCCAACAGGCTGTCTGCCAACAGAACAATTAACCTTGAGCATCCAAGCCCAGCTGAAAGGATGCCTCGCAAGAACATCCAAGAAACAGCCAGGAAGGTACCAGCACCATGCGAACGAGGTATCCAGGACGACGAGAGAACGTGAACGGCAGGAACACGATGTCGGTGGATCCCCCAAGGTCCGGCCTTGCAATTCGCATCCGAAGCTTACCGGACACGCGAGCAAGTACTTCAAGCCGTGGTCTATTGTAACGCAGTGCTCAACAATCTCTGAGGGACCAGTACTTCTGGATTCGCAACCCAGGATTCTGGATAGCCTTCCAGGCGGCTCAGCATGCGTTCGGAGGTTTAGGCTGAGTGGAAGGTAAGGCTCAAAGCAAAGCCTGCTCATTCTCAATGAACCAGCTTGGCGAGAACATCTTGTCTCCAACGACACCAATGCCTGAGAGCTGTTGCTAGAGAGCGAGGTTCGCAGAGACGCTGCACATTTCACGGATAGGTCTGAAGTCTACAACAATGGAATATGCCTTTCTGCATCTAACCCATCTAAGCTTCGCCAGCTCCTACTCGCCGTCTTTGGCCTCTACGAAGTCTCATTGCGGAAAAAGTGTTGAACGATGAGGCTTCTTCTAGGACATCATACGATGGAGCCCGAGAGAGTGGTGGACACAGACCCGCCGAGTAGAGCATGCACAGACATGGAGTTGTTCTTCACACAAGCACAGGCAAGCCTCAACTCGGAGCATTAAGCCCTAGCTTCGGAAACCAAGACACAAACTACAGCAAACTACAATGAAGAACACCGAGGATGCCTGTCTTGCCCATGTTCCCATTCCGTGGCCTCACCTGCGCATCTGTTAAGATGAGGCAAAGATTCGGTCTAGACTCGAATTCCAAACTCTCGGTGATCCTGAAACATAGTAAGTCCTGAGCTCTTTCAGATAACTCCCGGTGCAAAGCTCCAGTTCCCAGAAACCCAAAAGGAATACGCCCCACGCGTGCACAAACACACACACACACACACACGATGCAGTAAAACAATCCCGACATGTTAAACGTGTGCGGCATCACTCGAATGCTATCCACCGTCGCGTCATAGCGGCCCACTTTCATGTAGCAGCCGTGCGAGTCGTATGGCATGCGGTGATACTGCCTCGGCGGCTTTCGGGATGAGCCTTTGGTTCTTCTGAACCACGTTTCTTGGATTGAGCCTCACAGCACCTGAACATTTCCTGTCATGTAGCATGGAGCACTTGAGGCTCCCGTGGAAAGCAACAGAATGAAAGACAGTTCCGTTCGCGTGCACGGCGGTGATGATGCCATTCTCATGATGCGCCTGCTGAATTGCCTCAGCTGCCATACCGTACCTTCCAATACTTTATGACGAACTATCACAACAGTTTCGAAACTCGGTCCAGAGGTAGGTGCGTTGTAGATGTATAGGTCGGGAGTCCAGATCAAACTTGCTGGAATGTACACGGACTCCGCGCAAGTGTCATTGTGCACAAATGCCAGTCCTAGACAAGAAGGTGTGGAATTGCAGAGCATGAGCTTGAGGCCTTGAGGAAAGTAAGTCTATAAGGAAGCTGCATGTTTTCCAAATCTAGCTCAAGCTCGGTCATCCACCCACCAATGTCTGAGATAACCGGTGACTGTTACAGAAGAATGCTGTTCATCCACGGCATCAAAGCTTTGCAGGAAGAATTGTATTTGAATATCCACTGGAGCCTCGCAGTCGGTGAACGGAGGAAAGGCCTTTTCATACTCTTTGCCTTGTAAGATTTGTTTCTGAAAATCCGATGCCGTCCTCAGCTGCTGACCGCTTCAATCAGACACTTGAATTCTTGAGCTCTGCAAACGGACTCTGTAATGTTGAAAGCATGCCTTACCACCCGCATCAAGTAATCTGTCTTAAGTGACGTTTCGAATTGGGATTGCTCTTCTTCTGAGGCTCTTCGGGCCGGAACACCCGGCACGACAGCGCGACGTCTGACTCGCAGATGCGGAGAAACTGTCGGCCCAGAAGCAACTTAGACATAGCAACCATCGCGGCATCGGGCCGTGAGCTTGGAGAGGGAACCAAGTTCTGGGATTGTTTGGCTGCAAATTATCGAGCAGTTGCGTGTCAACACCGCCATTGCAATAATGGCCTCTCTTGCCAACCTACGACCACATAACTTCAGAAAGTGCTCCACTGCAACATGTTCAACTGAAGGATTTCGGCCGAGAGTAGCGAGAAGATACGATGGCAGGAAGACGCAACAATCTCAACTCGAACCCGGGACACACCATGCCGCGCATAACCTGCTAGTCCCCGCATCCCACCAAGCGTCCTGAGTCTCTATGCCTCTGGTCCCTAAATCCCTAAACCCGGAGCCGCCAAACCTAAACCGTGACAAGTTCTAGACTTTGCAGGCTTCTGTCCGGCAAGCGGCAGAGAGGACCAACAGGATCAGGTCCGTGCCGGAAGTTTAGAATTCTGGGGTCCAGGGTCTTGCTAGTAAGCTTCACCAAAACTCGCTTTCATGATAATTCAAACTTGCCTGATATCGCCTCGGCCCCGGCCGAAGAGGTTCCCCAAAAGTTCCCGGCTGTTCTGATTGGTTTTGGCAGCTTCGCGGGGACTGGGCACGTCACGGAGGCATGTACCAGAGAAAGATACGTTCCGTAGGGTGCAGGCAGGGTCCAGGATGGCTTCTTCCAGTAAGGCAGAGATGCAAGTTGAGGGTTTAGGGCATACAAAGACCTGGTCAAAAAGCCTTCATGGAATCTGGGCTGATGTGCTGCTGGAAGACATGCTCCACACATTGGGCTGTAGGAATCGGAATAGGGAACTTTTTCACGGAAATTGTGCCTTCCTTCAGGTCCTTGCCTGGATGATAGAACTGCTCTGAATCTATGCCGGCTTCGCCGGCCAGCATTAAAACATTTCAAAACCGGACCCATCAAACATGCAGCTTCCCGTGATGATGAGACAAGCGGCCTCTCTGGCACCGGGCCGAGGCATCGTCTAGGGGTAGGGTTTTGCAGAAGGAAAGGGTCTTGCGAGCGTTACATCTAAGAGGGGCGTCGCATTCCACGTCTGAGGCCGGTTTGGCAGGATCCCAGTGGTGGCAGCCAGCATCGAAAGGATCGTTGCCCGTATAGAAAGGACTTCCCGAGTCCCCCACCACTAGGTATGTTTTCCTGTTGGGACCAGAATGGCTCAGAGTTCGAGAAGTATGGAGCATTCACGTGTCAGACTCGCTACGGGCACGCTTCGAACGTCGTCGCATTCATGCTCCTGCCTGCGATCAATTTACAACCAACTAGCTGCAAAGGCACAGCGCTACAGTTTCTCGAATCAATCAAACAGGTTCGGAACAGCATAGTGCGGAGACCTGATGGTGATGGGAATGCACAAAAACCTCAACTCGAGCTGACATCAAATGTTGTTCACAACCATTTGCAACTTTACTGATCCCCTGCCACTCAGCTCAGATTTTTCTCCGCAAATATGCGGCTGTTGCAGGTTTTCAAGTATGTAAGTATGTCAAGGTGCACCAGGGCTATTCTCCCCTTCGCAGACCCCTAAACCCAGTCCTAAATCCCTTTCAAAGTATTGGGGCGCAGTCTATGTACAGGGCTAGCTCATCCACAAGAGCCCACGACATTTGCTGAGATGCTTGTTTGGCTGAGTTGCACATGTCATAGTTCTGGTGGTGATGCGTGGGATCCCATGCATGAAGTCGGACTTCGACTTCACTAGCCGTTAGCACGCAGGAAGACTTTCTGCTTCCTCAGTAACAGGACACCCCAACTCGAAATTCCATATCGACAGACAAGACAGGCCCAAGGCCATAGCAGTAAATCGCATCTGTGGTTCAGTGTGCCAATGTTTAGGTGGCACAAAGACTTCAACAAAAAGTCAGTGCACGAACCAACACCTCGACATCGCAAGCCAGGTCCAGAATAAACCCTTATAGCCTGCGTGCTAAGACTTGCAACCTCGTCTCAGAATTTTCAGCCTTGGGCACGCGATGTGTCAGAAAGCCAGTGGCGTTGCCGGCCAACTCACGGTGGGCTAGCCTTTGCGCTGCGGAGCGATATTCGGTACGGTACCAGGCATTCGTGGCGTACACATTTGCATGGTTTTCGGCTCGGTTTGAAGGTCTGGGAGTTCTGCCCAATTTGCAGTCTCGCAAGAACCGTGCAGAGGCTAAAACCCAAATGCCAGTGACTGCAGGTTTGAAGTGCTTGGGTGTGAAATGATGTGAAACCTTCTGGTTTCAGCGGAGCTCACGGTTTACCTAAAGCCAGAAAGCCTTAGCTCGAATTCTGTTGCAGACCTAGAGGTTGCAGTGTTTCAGTCCACACAACAGAGTTTACACGGCTGCGGGTTCAGAAATTTCAAAACGCTGGGCCCCCAAATCAATACAAGTCCGAAGGTCGACACGGCTTCGACGGCTTCATCTGAGTTCCATGACTGATGTGTACCTCTTCCTCGCATTCGTTCATCTCCATGTCCTGCTCAGGACGGTCAACAGCATTTGTGAAGGGCTTCAATATGTGAATACTGAGAATGTGGAGAAATGCACACATGCTAGATCTCAGGAAGGGCGCGAAACCCAAACGAAACGCAGCGAACCGTAAGCAAAACAGGACCTGCGGAAAACCTGAATAAGCTCACAAACAGACTCAGACGGCAATAACAAACAGCACTACATAGAAATAGATCCTTTCTGCGAGCACATAATCAAGATACGCAGAGCCACACACAGTACACATTACAAGGAAACTACGAAAGGATAGAACGTGTGCGAAGAAGAAACAACTCGTTCTCACAAATGGCCACTTGACCACGAGATGGCATAGTTCCCAGTAGAGAGCAACAGATACAAACAAACAATTTTGCACATGTTGAGTGATAATGCAAAGCAGACAACAACAACAACAACCACCAATGCAAGCACATGCTGGCAAACATAGCTATGGGCGATGTATGATCGCATATACATCAAAAGTGCTGGTGCGCACAGACAACTAAGACTACTTAATAGTAATGCATAAGACTGCCTAATTGTGAGTATTGGCGGGTGATACTAAACGGACAGATTTAGTGCAAAATCGTCGCTGTCAAAGAAGTATGCGACGCACAGACACACAGAGCGCAGAAACGATCGAGATAACGGGGCGCAGCCATACACGAAGCGCATACATAAGCAATTTCAACCACGACAAGGCAAGCATCAGTACCAGCGTTCATAATCGTCGGAACCAACCAGGAATCTTAAGATCCTGAAGATAGGTGCATCGTGCCACTGATATCAAATTCCTCATGCCAAGTCGCACTGCACGAATGCATAACGACTCTAATTGCGTTACGAATAGGCTCATCACTACTAAATAACAAGCTGTATCGATGTTTATAACTCACTCACACACACGCACACACACACACAGTCTCTCTCTCTCTCTCTCTCTCATACATGTATGTATGTACATCCGTACGTCCATCCTGTTCGTGTATGTACTCATGCATGTATGTCTGTAAAGATGTACACATACAAAATACCGTATATGAATAAATGTGATATAGAAATATACGTAAAGATGATATATGTACATACATACATACATACATACATACATACATACATACATACATATATGCAGTAGAACAGGCCCCATTACAGACTCATTTTGACACGCTGACCAGCACAGAAACTAGCTATGTCATAATGTTATGGTACGTAATATTCTCGAACATGTACTTTGTTGTGCATGGTGTAGCGTAGTATAGTCTAGTATGGTACTAGACTGTGTGATACTATATTGTATGATGTCAAAGGTGATAGGTTTGTTTTGTCATATGTTATATCGTATATGTTCGTTGATATATAGTGGACATGATCAACTCAACCATATGCTATATTCTACAGTTCCGGTTTTACTGTACATTATGTTGCTACATTTTATGTATTACTATAATATGAACTGTCTGTGATGTCTTGTATCTAGTATAGTATCTTATGTATCGTACTTTGTACTATAGAATCTGTCTAATGAATGATGTTGCATTGTATTGATTCAAGCAGTGGACAGGCTTTCTGCCTCAGGCTGGAATCAGGCAATAAGCGACGGTCATGTTCAGGCACTCGAGTCTTTTTATCACATTGTTGATATATATATATATATATATGTGAATACAGCAATAACAGAACATTTTGGTATGTTGTGGTATGTTGTTTGTTCCATTTTTTGCTTGTATTTTGTCGTACATTAGTAATTCTTCTACTGTAGCGCTTTATATAAGATAATAAACGTGTCATGGTATGATAAGACTTTATACTACATAGCTTCAGTATATACATGCAAGTGCAGATGTTGATACATCGCCACTGCTCCAACCCGGTTACTAATTTGTATTCATATACTCAGCTTCTTCGTCGACATGCCTACGCACGTACGCACATACGTACTTATATACATACATACATACATACATACATACATACATACATACATACATACATACATACGCACATACATACATCAATGCATACGTACATACATGCATGCATGTCTCAACTCTTAGTCAGATCACAATAATATGATGTAGCAGAAACTAGTTGCGGCTTTGCATGTTTGAGGGTGCTGGTATTAACGAAGATGCGATTCAGATCTCAGCTTTGCTTGGAGCAGCGTTGAGCGGGATTTCGAGTTGAAGGATCTGGTGGTCCTTCCGGTGATGACCGCTAAAGCAGGATTTGATTGTTTGCCCACCTGCCTCGACTTCTACCATCGGCTGCATGTCACGATCCTGGAGAGAAGCTTAAGGCGTTTGGGTTCTCGAAGTCCTCAGTGCAAACACTGTGGACGGAGAGCCTGTGCTATCTGTAAGTGCTCCTGACGGACAGGGTAGCGATGAGCTCGGATGCTTTTCCTGCCTCTGGAACCCCTGCAAACATCATGTTGGCAAGCATAGACTTTCCGGCAAGAGGGACCTCCGTCTCGCATAAAGCAAACACCCGCATAGAGGAGAGCAAAGAAAGCAGAAATAAATGCCTGTTAGGGTCAGAACAAAGAGGATCCCCCCAGAAGAGAACATAGTTATCGAACATGCAACCAGCAAGGGCTTGCTCACCCAACCCTTCTTAACAGCAGATATGCACTTGCAGCTCCGTGCGCATGTGTTTTCGCAGCAGTGCGAGTGCAGATGCTTATGCATGCAAGCATGTGGCTCGGAAATCCAATGTTGCCGACACGCATGCGCTTGGTCTGAAGTTGTCCTCCTCTTCAAGTTCCAAGTCCCTCTCGGGTATCTGAACCTGGCCCCACACGCTTGCAGAAGAATAAAGCCACAAGCTAAACACCATTCCAGGCCTCCTGCCCGGCACGTATTCTAGCGTAGATGGATAGTCTGATCATGAGCCATGCGCACCATCACCCTGGAGAAACTCTGTGCTCAAATGCCTGAGAGCTTGTGATGCTGAAATAGGTATGCGCATCACCACGGTACAGCCAACAGTGCCCAGGTGCACCTCGATATCTGCGCCAGTCCAGCCCGCTTCTTGAGTGATCTCCTAAGGTGAAGACAGCACTGAGAAAATAGATGACGCCAACGGTTCGAATCAAGTGTTCTGAATTGCCGTGAAAGGGCTTGGCAGTGCTGCAGCCCGAAACATGACAAGTTCCGAATCCGATGAACACAGGGGCCGCCAGAATCGGCCTCGTAGCCGTCCGTGAGGAGCGACTGCAACGCGCCGTGGAAGGTCTGCTGCTCCTGCATGCACGGATGCGCCTTGCGCTCTTAATGCATAAGAAGCTAGAAATACTCTGCCTTTATACCTTAGAGCCTCCGTGTATATGCATAAGGGCTCTTGCGGTGCAAAGGGCCATTGCACATCCAGCCTCCCGGGTAAGCTAGGCTTTAGAGAGTAACCGGCATGCGCAGCCGCATACTCTGAAAACCGCAAAATCCGTGGATTGAAATCTGCGCTCTCGTGCAATCAATCACTAGATGAATTGTGCGATATCGAGGCCTTTGCCACAATGGTGTCCAAGCCAAATTGGGCCAAGGTCTCCTGCACAGCCGAAGTCTTTGGAGCTTTCATAGCACTCCCCATGAAAAATCGAACCCTTCAGCCAATGCGATCACACATGGTTCCGTGTACCTCCAAGGCCTTGGCGCAAGTGTCAGGCCCCAACGGCTGACGCTGCCACTACTCCTTGTAATCCTCGTTTTCCCGCCCCTCCCCCGCCCACCCTCAGGTTGTGTACGTGTGGTGTGTGTCTGTGTGTGTGTGTGTGTGTGTGTGTGTGTGTGTGTGTGTGTGTGGGTGGGTGTGGGTGTGGGTGTGGGTGTGGGTGTGGGTGTGGGTGCCTTTTATGTATGTATACGTACATGTAGGTGTTGTAAATATATATATATATATACAAACATTATGTATATATGTATATGTATGTATATATATATATGTATGTATAAGGTATATGTATATAGATATATATGTGTGTTTATGTAGATGTGTGTTTACGCGTATATGTATGTACATGTGTACATACAAATATCCCAACACATATGTATATGCAAACATATACCTTTACCTAATAATACACATATATATATATAGAGAGAGAGAGAGAGATAGCTGGATAGATACTGTGCTGTAATCTTATCTACTCCACTCAATTCTCGTCTCTACTCATGCTATGCTCTGCTCTGATCTGCTCTCCTCCAGTCTACGCTACACCATGCTTCGCTCCTCTGGTTTAGTTTGGCTTTCCTCTCAACTCAACTAGGCTGTACTATGCCCTAAATCATCTATCCCAAGAGCCAGACGCCTTCCTCAGCCTTCAACCAACAGCCCAAAGACTGACACCAAAGAAGGCTGCTCATGGGGAGGGGATGACCAGGGTCTACCAACAAACCTTAAACAACGTATCAAAACAACAATCTCACTGGACGTGCTTTTTTGATTATCAATATTCCATTTCGGGTGCCGAAAAAACACATGGGGGCAATATCAATAAAAGAGCCATTCCCTAGTCGCAACACCAAAACCCTAGCGCCAAAAACCCAAACCCCTAAATACCCTAATCGCAAACTCCAAACCCAAAACCCTAAACCCTAGCCAAGACCCTGAGCCTGGTTCCAAAACCCTGAAACCCTAAACCCGGATCCTTAATCACGCGACCAAAGCCCAAGACCCAAAGGCCAAAACCCAAAACACTAAGCGACAAACCCTAGTGCCAGCAACTCAAACCTTAACCCTGAGGCTAAAACCCAGAAACTCTAAACCCCGATCCCCATCGCAAAACTCTAAACCCCGATCGCTCTTCTCCTTAACCCCACTGGCCACTCGGTAGAGGTCGGCACGTGGTCCTCCCTTCCCCCCCCCTGCCCCCGCTCATCGTTGGACGAATCTCGGCATTCAGTGAGACCGCTTGCTTTCAACACACGCATGCAGAGGACTACATGGCCGACGCCAGACCAGGTCCTGGCACCGGCACTCCCTGATGCGAGGATTATACGCCGGTTTGGTGTCAAGGGCTTTGTGGCGTGCTTCGCGGCTTGCGCCCGCCCCCCCCTCGCTGGGTCTTCTGCGTTTAGGCGAACTTTAGGCAAGGGCCATTCAATTGAGAGGCTTCGAGTTTAAGGTGTTCCAGCTCAGTGCCGGGAGTGGTTAGACTCTCGACCGTTCTCTGCCGGTGTCGGACTGCTGCTGAGTTTACATAAGAAGGACCAGCTCCCAGGTTCACGACTCCCAGGCTGCCTCCAGCGTCCTCGCCCCCCGGCCAGCACTGCGCTTCGCGGCATCCACCACCTTTTCATGGCTCAGTCAAACTGGGGGAGGGAATGCCGTTCAAAATTCTCAGGTACTTTTATTTTCAGAGCCACCGTCCCTTACCAAGCCGGAACGTTCAAGCCGACTCCGGAACCTCGACGAAGACTAAACAGTAAGCCGTAAGCCGACAGATGTTTCAGAGTCGAACGTCTAAGCTTCACAACCCGGATTCGAATTGCATATCCGCGTCGGCATGGGATAAACCCTGAGCTGAAGGCCATGAGTCACCAAGGCAAAGTACACACCCACACACACCCGAAACTCATGCAGTACTGCCGATTCCCAAAGCTCAAAGTTGACGACGCCCTCTGTGCCTTCGAGTCATCACCGCCGTATCCGGAGCGACCACCGAGGCCTCGCTGTCCAACCACAGTTGATTTGTCATGGCATCTCGTTTCTCTAGATAGTGGGATTATGGGCGGGCAAGACACCAGAATTCACGGTGCTTGCAAGCTTGCATGCAAATACAGTGTACGGGTTGCTTCTCAGACAATGCCCAGGTCTCCAGATCCCCCACAGAATATATGACTTCAGATGACTCTCTCTCTCTCTCTATATATATATATATATATAGGTATGTATGTCTGTAT